GTTTCTGCCTAACAAATTACATAAAATTTATTTTCGTGCTAGAAAGTTTGATATTTGTTTATTTGATTGCCGCTCATTAAAATTGGAAATGTAATATTTATGCTATGGCCTCGCAGACTGCGCCCTCTAAATTATATTTTGAAAATCAAATGGGTGGCCAACGTTTTTGCCATAAATATTGAGTTTCATATGGTGTAGAATTTATTATTTAGTGACTTAGTTTGTCTCCATTTCATTTAATTCTCTTCGTTTGATTAACAACTGTTCCTAAACAGTTTTAAGTATTAAGTTTCAAACTAAATTCTTTAAACATTTTCGTATAACTTTAATTTCTAGATTTCCCAACGCTGCTCTCATTTTCAACATAACTAAAAAACAATTTTGTTCATTCCCAAATATTTGCGCAAAGTCGCTCCTTCTTTAACTGAAAGCATTACTCATGTATGTAATTTATATGCAACTTTCTATTTTTATTTAAATAACAAATTTTCGAAAAAAGTGAGCAGATGCAAGTCAACTCAAGCCATCTGACATACCCGCACAAATATTTAACATATTTTTTGCAAATAAAATTTTCATAAAACAATAAAGGTGAAAAGTATGCAGACACACATGACTAACAGAAATGCATGTTGAGCTCGGCTCAAATAGCAACTATGCAAATGGCAAACATAGAACATCTGACGCGTTCTGTTTCCCACCAAACATATATTCTTTTGCAAACACTACAAAAATTAAGAGGATACATAAATTAAGAAGTTTACTGAACAATATAAAAATTTTAGGTTCCTCATAAGGAAGCTCAAGTTTTTTTATAACATTTTTTTCCATTTTAAATTTAAAAGTTTAAGCAAAAGCTCTTGGTTTTAAAATATTTCAATAATGGGGAAAAAGTAAACTTAATTTCTTTCAGTGCCTGAAAATGCATACACTGGCCCTGTCTGTTGGATTTCGATTTCAGTAGAACAAAACCCAACAAAAAGTCGCGGGAGCCGAGCTTACTCACTGGGTTATCCTTGAATGTCCCCAGCCAGCAGCTAAATTAGCTTTTCCTGGGTCACACACACCCACAAATGAAGACAAGTGGGTGTGTTTTAGGGGTGGTGAGTGGGTGGCATGGCGGTTGCTGGCTAAACAAACAACAGCAAGCAAAAAGCAGCAGCAACAATTGAAATGATACAAACACAGAGAACGCTGCAAAGTGAAATGCAATGCTGGCTTGGGTTATAAATAGACCGGGTGGGTGGAAAGGTGGGCGGGAAAAATGTAGGAAAAATGGTTGTGGGTGGGTTTTTTTCATAATGCCCAGAAGAATAAGCAGCGCTGCATTCTTTTCAATTGCTTTTGTTGGCTGCTGTACACGTGGGCAGAAAAGCTGGCTAGAAAAATAGGAAAATAGCAGAATGTGTACCTGAGGAAGTTGAAGAAAATGACCTTCATATTAAGTGCATAAATTCACAACTTTGTGGGGCAAAATCTTAAGAACTTCAGAACTAAAAGTGCAAATCAATTTGGCTTGGAAATCAAATGGATAGGTAAAATATAAAAATTTCTTGCATAAGTCCACTGGGTAAATTTTGATTGCAAACAAGGATACTAAGCATGGCTACAGATTTTGGAACTATTTATGGATATAATAAAAAACTGCGTTAGTTTTAAGGACTTGAAAGTTTTTTTTAAGGAATACAATTTTTTTGAATACTTAATTCTAATTTTTAAATTTACACTGATATTAAACGAAATGAATTTGTATACCTGTTACTCGTAAAAAAAAGGGCTATTTTATATTCGACGGAAAGTATGTAACAGGTAGAAGAAAGACTAAAGTATTATATTATTGATCACAACTGGCCATATCCGTCTACATATACATATGTCCGTCCATATGAAAGCTGAGATCACATAAACCAGATAAAGTAGAATGTTGGGATTAGGCATGCAGATTCTTGAGATTCTTGCGCAGCGCTAGTATATTTTATCAGAGTGCCTCGTAAATTCTAACGACCATAATGCTAAAACCTGCCTGGCGCCCACATTTTGGAAGATTTTCTAAAGGTGTAAGTGGGATTTTGTTTTGATTATCCATATCCATCTACTTGCCAAAAATTGTTTAAATATGACCATCCACCAAAAAGCTATAAGAAAATAAAGGGATCGAGGCTAGGTGGCGGCGCTGCTGTGGGCTATGCAAGTTTAATTACAGACGCTTTGTTGCTTGTATATCATCATTTATTTCCCACTCCACTAAGCTGAGTAAGCTGGGTATCTGATAGTCGAGGCCATCGAGCGTTCTCTCTTGTTAAATCTAAAATTTTAAATGCATTTTTTTCTTGGGCCTGCGCAAAGCCTTAACAAACATTTTCTTTGAGAACTTTCCTTTATTTCTCAGGCTTTCTCCTTTGGCTCACGCATTCCATTGTCACTTTACCTTTCGCCACACAAAAGCTGTGCTGCTTTCTCAGAGTCCTTTTCTAAACATCCTCAAAACATCCTTGCATTCACATGTTCTGGCATTATTTGCTTACGTGTCCAAAGCTCATCTCGTCCACCCACCCACTCATGGCCACTTTAATAAATGAAAAACCTCTCTCAGAGTTTTGTTTTCCACTTCTATTTGTTTACCACTGCTGCTGTTATGTTCCAACATGTTTGTTTTGTTTGTTATTGTTTTTTGTTTGTTTTGTCGCGCATTAGAACAGAGTCATTTCACTTTCAGCAAAGAATTTTTCCGTTGGGCATGAATATAGTCGTAATTATTATATGGGCCCCGATGACGATTTATATTATCATGTGCCTCATCTGAAGCACCGCCACCCACAGCCCAACTAATTGAATGTCACATGCAAATGCAACATTACATTTACCCCGAGCTAATTGCATTGCAACACGCGCTTTAAAGTCAATGAACGATTTGGTATTTCGCTATTTTACTTAGCCACAATTGCAGGCACGCAAATGTCAAAGCTTTTTAAAATAGCCATAAAATGCCTAGAACAAGGGGAGACCACGAAAATAGCAGCAAAAGTTGTAAATTGCCTAGGCAGTAAACATAAAATGTCATACTCAGTGGGTTATAAAAAATTTACGCAATGTTTGCCCTTCTCTGGAAGAAGTTAGGGATGGGAGTACGGAAAAGAAAAGGAGTTTCTCTTGAGCCACAAGAATACTAAATACATTTTCATGCTAGATTTAAATTGTGAAAGATATTTATGCCTAACCAAATCTGACGTTATGTAAAGGTTTATATATAGAACTGTTTAAAGTACGTTTTTTCGTCCGGACACCAAACTAATAGTATGTTTAAAGCTCTACACATCCTAGGTTTAAAACCTAGAACAAAAAAACGATCCTAAACTACATTTTGAATGTATTGACTTATAGAAGGGAAATCATATTTAATATAAGAATCTCTCCAATTTAGAAACAAATCTTCAACTTTCTGAATCTTTATTAAAGCCTTTGGAAAGTTGCAAGTTTTCCATCGCTGCGCCATCCCCATTTTCATATATAAATAAAGTCCTGGAGGGTTCTTACGTATAGGTGGTAACTGTCAAAATGGCGCCTCCCTTAGGCGCCAACTATTTGCATGTGTGATAAGCCCAGACAGAGTGGGAATGGAAAAAGGGGCCCAAACAAATAACGAGAAACCCTTTACGGGGCCACAAATCAAAGGCAGAAACATGAAAACAATATGTCAAATGATATTACACATTAAATTAGTTAAGACCAAACAAATGTGAGTAATAAAGCCGCCTGTCGTGTGTCTGCGGGGGTGTAAAGACGGGGGTTTCGTGTCGAGCATGTGCTCGGAAAACTCGATTTTCCTTACACCAGTACACTTTACTACTTCCCTCAACTTGAGCACATTTTCGCCCAGCAGCAATTTGTCACGTGACATTTTCGTTTGGCCAAAAATTACAAATGTTTTTATTATTTTTGGTTTGTTTTTGGAATTTGCGCTGCATGCCCGTGCTTGGAGGCGTTGCCAAGGTGCGTGTTTTCGGGTTTTGATTTCCTGACGTGTTTACACCGAGGATACAAAACAACATGACAGCACAGCAACGAAAAAAAAGAGATGGAAAAGGGCAGAGTATAGCCCTCCTCTTTGGTTAATTCATGCGGTCAGTTATTTAATTTTAAAAGCAACATAAAAATTTAATTCCCTTAAATGGGTAAGTAATAACCCTGTTTTTAAATCATAAAAAAATTAAACACCCAACATATTCTCATGCTTTCATCATTATTTGCCATCTCCACTCCCAATGTTTATTTATGCATTTACCCGAATAACTGAAGATTTTAATGGATTTTCCATGTATGAGGTAAGCACCGGTTGTAAATGCATTTTCATTTCTATAATTATATGGCTTCTTGCCGATTTCTGCTAATGAATTAAGTTGGATTTTAAAAAGCATTCTTGTCGTGCACGCAAACATGCAATGGCAGGCCAAACTTTGCGGGGTAAGAACAATAAGGGAATTGACCACAATTGCTGCTATTATATTTTCTTATATGAAGGAAAGTGAAAATCATGATTTATGATTTTAAGCAGAAATATGAATTAGCCACAACATGATATGATGATTGCAGGGAGCTTATAGAATATTTTGTAAATTATTGATTTATTTACTAAAATGACTTTTGGTACTGAGGGTATTCTGGAATAGTTTTTAAGTATAAGCCTCGTTATATTTTGTTTATGTTCTTGCGAGTGTTTTTAAGGCAAACGTGTTTTTTTTGGTGGAGGTTGAACAATCTTTAACCATGTTTTGAATTTTAAAACTAAAATCGGGGTAGCAGGAGTTACAAAATAAAATTGGTTGGACACAAAACTTCTTAATCATGGAGGTAAGTGTTAAAATAAACATTGGAAGACATGTTGATAGTTAAATTATTAAAAAATATGTATACAACAAAATAATGGTAACATTGGGTCAGAGGTTAGTGTGAGTTGATTTGTGTTCCGGGATGGATCGATAAGTCGTCACTCGCACACTCACCTATCCCTCAGGCAAATTTTGAACTCCGGCTGCGAATCGTAGTCGCTGTTATCGATAAAGCTGCTGCGCTCCCTGTCCCGCTCCCGCTCCCGTTCCCTTTCCCGCTCCCGCTCCCTTTCCCGCTGGTACTCCTGCATGTTGGCCAGCTGCTTGTGGAAGAGCTCCTGCTGCGACTGGAGGAGATCGTGGTGATCCTGCAGAGCGGCCAGCTGGTTGAGTTGCTGCTGGTAGGAGGACGACTGTTGCTGCTGATGCGGGGGCGACGTGGGCCTGGGTCGCTGGTAGGGATGGTGATGGTGGTGGTGGTTGTGGTGGTGGGGCGGCTGGTGGTGGTGCAGCTGGTGGTGCGGATGGCGCTGCAGCTGGTGGTGGTGGTGCTGCAGGCTGTGGCTGCTCTTCAGCTGCGTCAGCTTGGCGTCCACCTCGGCCAGGCCGAACTCCAGTTCCGCCTGGGCCTGCTGCTCGTAGGCCTGCTGGGCCTGCTGCAACCGCTCCCGCTCGCTCCTCGGCGAGTTGGCCAGCTGCTCCGCCGGCGGCTCAATCTCGACCGCCGAATAGTCGTAGTCCAGACGGTGGTGATGGTGCAGCGACTGTGTGTTCTTGCTGTCCGCCGTCACCGCCCCCGTTCCGGGCGTGGCAGTGGCTATTTTGCCGGCCAGCGCGTCCAGCGAACTCAGCATCTTTGGGGGATCCTCTGACTGATCAGTATAGGCTTTAATCAATTCGTACTCTTATGTCCTTTGCTGGCATACAGCCGAGTCCTCGACCTTATACCCTTTGCTCCAGCTCGCTTACTTCTTTTTACTTTGCTTGTTTCTATTTACTGTTTAACTATTGCCTATAATTTGCCTGAAGGAGAAGTTGGGAGGCAAATTGCAATGGATTAGTAAGTTTTTATGAATATTTATTAGTTAAGGTAGATAAATGAGTGGATGCGACCTTGAGACATTCAGGCATGCAATATATCCCCTGTTTATTTTGCAGCTTAGGTCAGCTACATTTCACTTAAGCTCACAAACTCGAAAATAAAGAACCAGCTCACACACACTCGCACACACTTGCTCACCCACACAAGCACCCGTTGAGTGTGTGTTCTCGTATCTGTGTCTGTGTCTGTGTCCGTCTGTCTGTCTGTGGTCGTAAAATGCAAACACTTGAGCTAGAAAAGGACCGGCTTGAAAGGCAAAAAGGGGTTTTGGGGATGAGAGGATGCATGGAGTGGTTGCCACTCACATTGTGTGCCCTGTTTGTCCACCCCGTCTCCACATCACCACCCCCTACCACCAACAAACACAAACATCTCGAGGGGCAAAAGTCGCCCCAGCTTCTGTGGTCAAAATAATTGGGGGACATTCAAATGAAGAAAATCAAGAGGAATGCTAAAGTTATACCATTATACATAAGGCAGGGAGAACTCGTTGCAAGTAGTTGCAGTATTGTTTAGCAACAAAATGAATATTCATTTATTAGATTATTTTTAATTATGCCATAAAATAAGGGGGCACGGAAAATGCAGTTCTAACAATAAAATAATTTTTAAGTTTTTTCCATGTATATATATGTATGATATAGTCGGCATACGGAATATACCAGGCTTTTTTTGAGCAATCCCAAAAAAGGGCTATAAAATTAGTTGAGATTGCAATACTTTGTGGTCAGTGGAGGATTCTGGGCAATTTCAATAAAGAACCCAGGAGCTCTTCCTTGGGCAAACAAGCTGACCGCACTTCATTTTGGGCAGCACACTAGCTTCTGTGCTTCCATATATCCTGTAGTCTCAGAATCCTTATCCACTCCACTCAACACCTGCAATATCTTCAATCAAATTTGCAGCTTACAACAAAAGTCCATTGTTGTTGCTGTGGCTGTCGGGTTTTTGTATCTACAAAAAACTACAAAGTTTGCTTAGTATCTTTTACCAGCGATGATTGAGGGGGTGGTGCTGCATAGTGGGTGGCTGAGTGGATGGGTGATATCCTGCTTGATGTTTGTTGTATGACATACTATAAAAGTCAACTTGAATGCGCTGTGTAAATTTCACCACATCTCCTCCTAGCCAGAATCCAGCATTTCTCCCTCCCTTTCTCCAGTGCCTTGCAACTTTAAGTAGTTCTCCCTGCCACATCCTTTTCTCTATCCGGCGCAATGGTTGCATTTGAAAGGAATTTGCCTTTTACAAGATTTTACTCTTTGCAATTTACACGCGTCGACCGCTTTTCCATAAGCACACACACAAACGCGTCCAAAACCCACTGCACACACGTAAGTATGTGTGTTTGTCTGACTGTGTTGCAAGCATTTGGCTTTTGTAAATGTTACTTCCTTATTACATGGCATTATATTATTGCAGATACAGAGCAAGTCTCGGCTATCAAAGTAGTCCCAGCCACAAATGGGGAACAGAACGAGATTGCAGAGGAAGTTGCGGGAACAGAAGGACCTGGGCTGGTGGTAGGAAGGTTTTCCTAAATGCTTTCCAGGATGTTTGCCCACGCAGGATGTCTTTGCAGCCACAGAAACGGAAAGAAAAAATCTTGGGGCCTGTAATTAGCAAGGAGTAGGCGGAGTTTGCCACTCGGTTTAAAGTTTAATTTAAGGACTGTACACTTAATGAGGAAATGCTTAAAAAGTAACTACTGAAGCATGGAAGATTTTGGATAAAGCATAGAAAATGATGTGCTCAGCCTCTGCCGGAACACACACAGCGTACAACAGCAATCATCCCACACACATCGATAAGCTGCCCCGTGCAAACTACTGAATTTCTTGTTTTTGGGAGATAACACTACAAATTTAAAAACGTTAAGAATTTTAAAACATTAGTTAAGTATAATGTTTCCGCCAGTTGAACTACAGTTTTTTTATAAATGGTATCACTAGTCGATAAATAATTACATACACAGAGAAAATTCTGACGTTCTCATTGAAAATGTTTTTATTTTGCTCGAATCAAGTTGAATTGGCGGTATTTAAGTACATTGTATGTACAAATAAACTATTAGTTCAGTCCTTGGTATATACTTATCAAAATGTTGTTAAATAGACTCAATTTAACTTGTCTCTTCTCACCATTTCGTTCTTATATTGATACCAAAATGTACTTACACGGTTTTTAAGAAAAAATGTTCTCAATTCAAGAACAATGTTTTTGGATAGTTTTCTCTGTGTACGTCTGAAATATAATCTTAAATTCCCCTTTTCGAAAAAAGGTAAAGACAAACAAATTAATTATAAAATGTTATGCAAGATATTATGCAAAACAAAAACTTGTTCTGTGAAAAAGCGTAGTTCGATGAATAAAGAACACAAATTTGCATTCGTTAATTTCCATTGAATGTCGCTTTAATCCTTTAAAAACAATTCAGCAACTTAATTAGCCATGCAGCTAATTGCATTCAAAGGATATCAAGCTCAACCCACAGCCGCAAGGCAAAGGAGCCAGACAGTTGGAAGTCAGCTCCTTTTTGTCCTTTTCATTAGCCATGGCATAATAGAATTTGAAAGGGCTTTAAGAGGAGCGCGCTCACTCTGTGTGTTATCAAAACTAGCAAACGGAAAAACCAGGGAAATGTGCGCGAAAAATTAAAAAAATTAAGAGAAAATCGCGATAGACGAGAAAACTCTCTCTCTTTCTGAGCTTCAAAGACAAGCGCGCCATAACCCAAAAACATAAATCCTTTGGCGGAAAATAAATAAAGCGAGCTGGCAAGAGGAAAATGAATATGCTAGCCGTCGCAGAGAAATGGGGATATATAAGTGGAAAAAAGTTGATAAGCGGCAACTGCAAAAGCTTTTTAACACCCAGCCAGAAAGGAAAATGCGAAGGAGCCACATTGAATGCGGATTTCTCACTGCGGGGATACAAATAAAAAGAAAATAATGAGATTTTCCCGGCCATCCCAGTGACAGAGAGTAACTTAGAAAATATTGAGCGTTATAAAAGGAATTTCCGTTGTTCTGCGGCTTCCATTTAGAAATGCAAAACTAAGCAATTTAAATTGAAATTGTTTGACAAGGGAAACATCTAAGAAACCATGTAAAATATGCAAAGGAGCAGCTTCCAATTGTGTTTTATATAGCGAACAAAAAATAAAAGCCACAATTACAAGAGTGCTATTTGTCCAAACTCTTCTTCCATAATGTAATATACAAATTTATTGCAGATTTTCTCCGATATGCACACTAATTAATTTTCCCAAATTAAACCAGCTTTACTTTCCAAAGGTCTATCCTTGTTTCATAAATAAATATGTAGACAATATTCAATTATCATCAGTATCTAAGGCACAATTTCCCCCGAATTATTTTCCATAATGCCGAACCAGTGCAAAATTCCTTTCGGCCAGCATTAAATCAAATGAATCGTTTGATGCGGTACGGACAAATATTGTGCCACTTCTCATAATATAATCCTGAGGAGGATATGGAAACCCAACGAGAAGCCCCCAAGACACTGGCATAAATTGTCAGCTGACAATTTAATAAACAATGGAAACTCAGGGCCAAAATGATTAGACATTTATGGATGTGTGCTCGGGGCCAGAGCAATGCAAATGTAAACGAATCGAGTATCTAATTAAGCATCAGGATGGCCTAGAAACACCAATACCGAGATTTCTCCCGCACATAAATTAAACGAGTTTTCCTCGGCCTTTAAATATTTTCGAGAAAAGCTTGAAGCTTCAAAATTAAATATCGCACACAATTGCTGCCTTCGTTGTTGGTTATAGGAAAGAAAGTCTTAACCGCAACAAGCCAAAGTCACGATGAGCGGGAGAAAGCAATTACTTTCTGCTTTGCTTGTTGCTTCTCCTACAAGACGACGTTCGGTGGTCCTGCCCCCGAAAAAATGGGAATAGAAAACTTTTTGTGGCCCTGACAGCAGTTTATGCTACACTTGCTCCGACTCAAACTGTCAATATTTTACTTTAAGACACCCGGCCACAAGGAGTCGAGGAGCAGCCACATCATTTGCTATAAATTTACTTCATGCTGCTGCTGTAACGACCCAAAACTCGACGGAACAGAACAACAAAGTGGCAACTTCTTGTGGGCGGTTCTAGACACAAATTCCTCCTTCCTGATTTTCTCGAGCTGGATAAATAAGAGAATTAGAATGGAAATATTCTTAAGATTCTTGAAGTGATTCTTCAAAAATTACTTTTTATACTTCCTGGAAAATATACTCTTTTGACTTTGTTTCATTAATATTCAAAATTTTATATTTTGTTATTTGTTTGTTGTTATTATTATAGCATATATAGATTATTTATTTATTTACTTAATCGCCAATAGATAAATCCTTTTCTGGTTACAATTATAAAACATAAATCTATCTTAAGTTTTACGTAAATCTATTTTAAAAATAAATAAATTCCCTAGTGGTTTGCCTGAGCATATTAAGGAAATATACTTTAGCCAGATATAAAACTGGTTTTGTAAACACCTTTTTTTTTTAAAAAAAATCTGGCAGATATTAAATTTGAAACAGGACTCTCCCTGATTTTCCCTACACCCCACCAACCAAACCTCCCACTGTATTTTGTGGTTGGTGCTGAACATGTGTTTTCCTGGCAAAGTTAAGACGAAACCTGCCTCAATTGAAACCACCCAACCAACTGGGCCACAAATTTTGAGGTCAGCCTGGGATGGTCTGGCATAAATCTGAGAGCAAACTACACCGAGGCAACCATCTTGGACAGGACATCTCGGGCTGAGACTCCTTTGGGCGCTGGCGAGTCCTTGGGAACGGACTTTGAACCCCATGTTGATGCTGGTAATCAAGGCATTAAGTGTGTTTACTGTTTATTTTATTAGACTTTAAGGCTTAATAGCTTTTTCAAGAGCGT